TACCTGAGTCTACCAGGAGTCGTAGGGTGTCGGATGGAGTGAAGTAACCTCTTGTGTAGAAGTCAGTTACAAGCACGTAGACTCTAAGGAAGTCCTACTTCGAGACTGTATATATATATATATATATATATATATATATATATATATATATATATATATATATATATATATATATATATATATATATGTATTTGCTACTAACCGTGTTCCTGGATTTTACTAACAGCATTATCTTTTGTATTTTGTGTAAATACATTTAATTTCCTAGCTTAAATACTTGCGTTTGTCATTTATTTGGACACCTGTTTTGCACGCGGGATCCACAACACATACTAAAATATAGTGTTAGCCCAAAATGCAGTTTCTGTGATAATTGTCTAGAAACAATTCATCATCTTCTATCAGGTTGCACGGTATTGGCACCCATTGAATATAAAACACGGTATGACAGTGTGGGCCAGTATCTCACTAGAAAATCTGCAACTTCCATGGAAAGGAAACTGAAAGAAAAGGGGCATGAACACCACCCAGACGCTACGGTTATGGAGATGGGACCTGTTACAATTTTATGAGACTACACAATAAACACAGGCAGAACAATCAAAGCTAACCGCCCAGGCATTGTTATTAGAGATCGCACAAAAAAAATATTCCTCTTTATTGACATGGAAGTACCTGCAGTCTGTAATGTATCTTTGAAGATCTTCAAAAAGCTATCAAAATACAAGGAACTTGAAATCGAAATCTCAAAAATGTGGCACATAGGAACATCAACAATCCCCGTTGTAGTTGGAGCCCTAGGATTGGTTAGAAAAAATTCCAGTAGACTAATTGAAGGGATTCCTGGAAGTCCATGCCTCAAAGCGATACAAAAAAATGTTCTAACAAGTATAGCCCACACTTTACGAAGGGATTTATCTATGTATTTTTTTTTTTTTTTTTTTGGTCAAAGGAAAGTGCCATTTCTAAACTGAGGTCCCTGGACGGGCCCCGGAAAGAAATGCGTACACACCAGAAATCAAAGATAATAATAATAACAATAATAATAATAATAATAAAAATTATTCAATCACCTACTCTACATGGATGATCTCAAACTCTTTGCCAAAGACGACAATGAGTTGAAAGGCTTCCTCAATATTGTAAAATACTTCAGTGACGTCATAGGTATGGACTTCGGATTAGATAAATGTGCAAAAGTAACATTCAAGAAAGGTAGAATTACAGAAACACCCTTAATAGATTTAGATTTTGTCACAAAGATTAGGGAACTGGAGCGGGATGATTGGAAAAGATTGCAGTAGACTAATTGTAGGGATTCCTGGAAGTCCATGCCTCAAGGAGATACAAATAGTTGTTCTGACAAGTACAGCCCACACTTTACGAAGGGCTTTATCTATGTAATATTTTTTTTGTCAGTGCAAAGTGTCATGATGCCATTTCTAACCTTAAGTCCCTAGGCGAGACCCGGAAAGAAACGAGTAAACGCCAGAAATCAAAGAAAATAATAATAATAATAATAATAATAATAATAATAATAATAATAATAGTTCGACTAGAACTGTTTTACAAAACCAAAACAATCGGTCTTCAAAGATATCTGGAAATTACAGATGACCGGATGTTCATCTGCGCCAAAGAACATGACTGAAATATGATAGTTTATTCAGTAATAATGGAAGCCAACAAATTCTAAAGGAAATGTCAACTGGTTGAAGAAGTACAAATAAACCATAATATACCTAAAATCCTAAGAAAGCGAAATCAAATGCATTGCACCGAATGCAGAAACAATGGCAAGATAAGCCTCTCCTTGGTCAATACTCCGTCCGTACCAAACAAGCTGATGTAGACAAATCCCATACCCATCAGTGGTTACGTCGTGCAGGATTTAAAGCGGAAAACGAAGGTTTTATTCTTGCTGCAATTGACCAATGCTTGCTAACTTGAAATGACTAAGAACACACACACACACACACACACAAAAAAACAAAACATTGTGTTAACCCCGAACGTAGATTCTGTGATAAATATCTATAAACAATTGTTCATCTTGTATGAGGTTGCACTGAATTAGCAGCAATTTAATTTAAATGTCAGCCTGGTAGAATGGGCCAATATCTCCACTGGAAATAATGCAACTTTTACAGGAAGGAAATTCCAAGTAACTGGTAAGAACTTCATCCTAACCCGGTTACAGAGATGTGACTTGTAGCAATTTTATGGAATATTGCAACAAACACAGATAGAACAACCAAAGCTAATCACCTCGACATTGTGATGAAAGACAACAGAAACAAAATGTGTATTTTCATTGACATGGCATTGTAATATGTCTTTGAAGATCTTGAATTAACTACCAAAATACAAGATTCTAGAAACGGAAATCTGAAAAAATATGGCTCATGTGGACATCAGTAATTCCAGTTGTAGCTGGAAAAGGCTCCCAAAGTCTCATTGAATCGATATTCCTGGTAGGCATACCTTAGAGAAATACAAAACATTTACTCCCAAATACAGCTCACACATTACGCAATGCTTTGTCTATGTAAAATGTGTGGGATGTTATTTTTTTTTCTTACTTTTTTACATAAACGACAAGTAGAAAATGGCATGAAGCCATTTCTGACTTTATGTCCCTAATTGGGACCGAAAGGTTATGTACACATAACAGAAATTGAAGGAAACATTAATAATAATAATAATAATAATAATAATAATAATAATGACAAATTCAAAATGGAGTTTCAAATGGGCGCAGAGATGCAACTACAGCACAATACACCGGCTGAAACTGCAAAATACCTAAAAAAAGACAGCAAAGACGAATGCAACCGACCAGTTACAGAAGCGATGGCAAGATAAACCGCTTCATGGCCAATACTCTGCCCGTACCAAACAAGCTGACGTAGACAAAACCCGTACCCATCAGTGGCTACGTAGTGCAGGGTTGAAAGCGGAAACTGAAGGTTTTATCCTTGCTGCGCAGGACCAATTCTTGCTAACTAGGAATTATCAAGCACATATACTAAAATATTGTGTCAGCCCAAAATGCAGATTCTGTGATAAATATCAAGAAACGATTGATCATCTTGTATCAGGTTGTACGGTGTTGGCACCCACTGAATATAAATCCCGACATGACAGATTGGGTCAATATCTGCACTGGAAAATCTGCAACTTCTACGGGAAGAAAACTGAAAGAAACTGGTATGAACACCACCCATACCCGGTTACGGAGATAGGACCTGTTACAATTCCAATTACACAATACACACTTACAGAACAATCAAGGCCAACCGCCCAGATATTGTTATGAAAGACCACAAACAAAAATGTGCCTCCTTATTGATATGGAAGACCCTGCTGACTGCAATGTATCTTTGAAAATATTCAAAAAGTTGTCAAAGTACGAGGACCTTGAAATAGAAATCACGAAAATGTGGCATATGGGAACATCAACAATCCCTGTTTTAGTTGGAGCCCTAGGACTGGTTGGAAAAGATTGCAGTAGACTAATTGAAGGGATTCCTGGAAGTCCATGCCTCAAGGGGAAACAAAAAATTGTTCTGACAAGTACAGCCCACACCTTACGAAGGGCTTTATCGATGTAATTTATTTATTTATTTATTTATTTTTTTGTCAGTGGAAAGTGTCATGTCACCATTTCTAACCTTAGGCCCCTGGGCGGGAACCGGAAAGAAATATGTAAACGCCAGAAATCAAAGAAAATAAAAATAATAATAATATTAATAAATAATTGTGATCATTTTACGGCTTTCCTATTTGAATTTTCTGATGAATCTTAATTCTGAATTTAATGATTAAATAAGCTCGTTGCGAGTTCCACGATTACATAATAAACGCTTAAATTCATCTGTTGTCTCATTAATCATTTGAGCTTACCAACTTTAAGAAAATATTGCAACATCAATTATAAATATGAATTCTGACCATTATTGAAGGCGAGCGGGAAATAGGAAAGCAACGCAGAACTTTCTTAGTAAGGTCGACTAAATGGATGGCGGAACACGGTTTTGGAGAAATAAGAAAGAGATATAAAATTAAAAAAAAACTATAAAGAGCTGCAAAGGGGAGGAAGTTGTAAAGAACCATGACTGCCTATGCCCTGGCGGGAACCAGAACATAAAGAGGAACATTAAAAGAAGTAAACGGATACGAATGAAAAAATTGAAATTGACAAGTTTTCCCATTTCTCTGAAGAAGACGCTAAACACATAAGAATGTTTCTTTCGTTCTTTTTCTTTCTTTCTTTCTTTCTTTCTTTCTCTGAAACTAAACAGCGTCTTTCCTCGCTATCAAAACGCAATAGTCGATTATTTATGTTATAATATTAGGGTGTGAATACGGGCTAACGATCTGAGCCGTTAAGGAACTAGCAGGATTATATCATCACAATTATTATCATAAATTTCCTGCTGTTTCATCAGTTATCGCTCTTATGACATGTAAACTTAACTGCAGAGGAAGTGCTAAAAAGTGCATGTTATATTTTTTTTAAATGCTGAGGAACTACAGTAAATATGTCGTTCCTTGCCTCAAATTTGTTTGTTGCCTGGCCATAAAGAGCTGACATACTGTACGTCACTGTTCACCGGTGTGTACAGTGGGGGAATAATCATGGCAGGGATGGTGAGAATGTTGAAAGAATAGACGGCCAAATCGATCTGGGAGTCGCATCTCGTTACTTGGCAACGCCGAAACGGAAACGATCCTATCGGACTGGGTTAACGTACTTGAAGTTATTTCTGCCTGGGCGCGCCCTGCAAGGTAATACGCTGTTTTTTCTTTTTTGTTTTGTTTTTTTTTTTGCTTGTTCATGAAGACCTGTAAGGATATCGCGTACATCTACAGCATATATCAACTTTGCATGTAAGACTGCTGGTTGCTTTTGAGATGTTTTGCGAGGAAGAACATAGTCTATGATATCTGGTGTTGTGACGTTTATATTTTTATGAGTTTTTATTTTAATCTTCCAGGAGGATTTTTCACTGTTTTTCCCGAAATATCATATTCTTCATCTTCTTCTTCTTCTTCTTCTTCTTCTTCTTCTTCTTCTTCTTCTTCTTCTTCTTCTTCTTCTTCTTCTTCTTAACGCGTTTCTGCTCATATATGTTTTCATTTAAACAACCACATTATTTTCTATGTAGTTTTCATATTGTTCTATACCATGACGTTCATCCATAGACGAGTGGCAGATATCGATAGAGTTTTGAATATATTTAAATAAAATTTAATATTTTAAATTATTTCAATCCAATCAAATTGATGATCCCACTGGATACTGGAAGTGAAAATGAATGAAAAGACTTTAATTCAGAAGACAGAAGGCGTTTGGTGTTGCATATAAGTTTTTTGAAGATTGATGTTTGCAAGGATCCCGGAAATTGGAAGAGAGTTCCACAGGCAAGAAGTGTAAAAAAATGAAATCTTTAGAATAAAACTTATGGTAATATCTTGCTAATTCATCAGTATAAAGGTTAGTGTTAGTTGTCAATCTATTAGCATTATTATATTCATGCGGTCGAAGTATCGAGTAGGAAAATTTATTAGAAAAGTTTCCTTAAAACTATTCATAGCAAAGGCAGGGAAATAACGTCACGGGGTTTGAAAAATTGCGGAACCGAAATGTCAGATTAGTACCGATTATATTAGTAACTCTTCTTGAGATTTTGTCAAGACTCTCGACATATCTATATATGTGTGTCAGATCAGAATATGGTAGCAATATTCAATGTATGAAGAAATTATAGAATTATAAATGAGCAAGATTGATTCTGGCGAGAAAATTTGTTTAGCCCGACAGAATGAACACACTTTCCTAGCAATAGTTCAAGTAAATGATTAAGTTTCCACCAGTAAATATCATCTTTTCATGAAGGATCGCAAAATTTCATTGTTTCGTTAGTTTCGAGCCGCAATAAAAAGAGGGATGAACAAGATTAGGCTATGTATCCTTGTGTGTCTACCACTCTAAAATTAGGAAAACTCTGAGTACAAAACGTGTGATTAGTAGAACCATTTTGTGCTAATGTCTTGCTTGGAAGCTGTTGTAGCATACCTACGGGCGATAATTAGTATGTCCCCATAACATAAATACAGTAGTAAATACTCTATGTTGGTCTGTAATTAGAGATTTGTCTCCAGCTGTGCTGGACAAACTCTCTATCCCCGGATGATGCTATGTCGAAGCGCAGATTCTCGTTTAGGGAAACGGCTACCCGACCCCGCTTTACACGGGGTCTACGGGGAATTTTTGGCCGAACATACGGGCTTGGATGCTCCATATTAAATTCGACCTTGAGCCACATCTGACCGCGTAGATATCCTACAGTTGGACATTCGCCTGCAGTTGGAGATTCGCCTCCAGCTGTGATGGTCAAACTCTTTGCCTCCGGGTAGAGAGGATCCCCAGGCGAATGACAGAGTGTCGTCTCGGGAAACAGCTATTATCGTTTATGGCAACCTTCGCTTGATTTTTTCTATTCAGTAACCTTCCTAGGTTACAACAGAAGCAAGGTCTGTTCTTTCACTACAACTGAGATCCAAGAAACTCTTCTACAAAAATTCTTACCGCGAGATTCCAGAAAAAAAGAGGATATCAAGATTTTGTAACTGAAAGTGAGTCACCTTTCACTTAGCTAAAACATCCTACTCATGGACGTGCCGTATCTTGAAAGTAATCAGTATCCGTGAGGATTGATAATCTCTCTACAAAAGGTAGGATGTGTGTGTGTGTGTGTGTGTGTGTGTGTGTGTGTGTGTGTGTGTGTGTGTGTGCGCGCGCGCCGCGCGCGTGTGTGTGTAACGAATGTACGGCCGCAATTTTTGACGGATTTGCACCAGAATTTACATGCACGTGCTCCAAGTTAGCGGGAAGGCCAAGACCGACGTTGCATTTCCCAACTCCCATCGATAGTGGAAATAATCGATTTTCTCAAGATTCTACGGCAGTTTTCATGTAGTTTGCGGCCATTTTATACTGGCCGGATTGAGAGCCTATAGCTGGCTGCCACGAATAAGCAGGAAGATTGTATTGGCCAGCGTGTTAGCCAACATCTGACTGACACGAATGTTAACTAGCATTCTAGGATGCAAAAAAATCGATAGCTGCATTCGTCACAAGTGGGAAAATTTAAATCTGCATGTCTCTTTACTCCAATTGGCTCATTCGCTTGCTTAAACTCAACGTTGATTCTGATTCCGCAGAACTGGGTTAGGTGTGAAAATGTATTTGTTGCTAACATTCTTTTTTAGATTCGTTTTTCCCAGTTACGAGTCCTTTTTTAAAGCTGATCTTTTTGTGCTCATTTCGTTTAGTCCTTTTTTTCATAACAGATTTAATGTTTAGGATAGAGCTTAGGAAAAATTCGCAGTGTGAGATAGGCAAGAAGTAAGGCATGTAGCAACATCAGCACGGCAAAGAGCTCTCCTTTAAAGGCAAGGAAGGACAAAAATATTTTAAGTCATGTGATAGCGATTGCTGTATGAGTCGTACGATTTTTGAGTCAACGCCGGGCCATGCTGCTAGTAATAAATAATAAGTTCGTATCGTTTTTATACATTGAAGTTGTTTCTATTTAAAAATGTAATTTCGAGGTTTAATATTAAAATATATTTTAAAATAAAACGTAATGCTAGCTCAAATATATTTTACATCTTCGTAAATATTTTGTATTTTTTTAAATAAAATTTATTTTCAATGAGAATTAAATCGATATTTGTAAAATTATATAAAAAAGAGAAAATAATTCAGTAGCATTTTCAAAATTTCTTAACTTCTTATAAATGCATTACTATAGATTCAGAAAACTTAATGACCGCTACGTTAAGGGGATTCTTTATTGTCTGCTGATAGGTTTTTACTTGAATTTTATCAAGAACTTTTCTCCACTTGTGACGTGGTATATCTCCTTTGTATACTCATCAGTGCTTCTAACCCAGCAAGATTTTCCTTACATTTGCCAAAAAGTTTCTTCTTGTTTTTTTTATTTTTATTTTTTCTGAGTCAGTTGATTGGTAAAATTCCATAAAGAAGAAGAAATAGAATGTTTTTTAAAAAATTGGTTTCCGATCGTTGTTTGAATTCTTGCCAATGCCTTACTACGTCTTCTAACAAATATGAATCAGAAGATTTCTAATCACTTTTTATGCTTGCAATCATTTTGAAGTAGTCTTATCACTGGCGAAATGAATGAAAGACTCCAAGAGATTTCTAGAGATTTAATAACTACTGAATATGCCGAAATTTGTCAGAAATTGGTTGGAATATTTTGCTGTACCGATCTTTTACGTAGTGAAATCTGAACTTCAGTGATGACCAGCATTTGTAAATTTTAATGTACCAAATTTAAAAGCCAGTAATACTACTAGACGTGCACATAGCTGAATCAAGCTACCCTATAAATGTAGAATTTTCACTGCAACTTCATTTCAAGGCCAACTGTATCGGACGACATATAATGATCGAACTCACTACAATACCAAGGATATTCGGTAAAACTGATGAACAAGATAATACATCTTTACATCACAATAATAGTAAACTTAGCTTACATATCTTTGACATACTACCTGTCATATTTTAAACAATCCGGAACAGTAAGGAATTTTGGATGGCTTACTTTACTTTGTTCAAGTCGTCGATATGTAAACAGGCAATTCTGTTCTTTTTCTGTGAAGACTATTTTATTAGAGACTCATAAAATCTGATCCTGTAGATACGCCATTACTATATTGCACTCATTCAACAATTGCCTCAATCATATTGCTTCGACTTGAACGTTTAAAAACTCTGTTTTGTGTAACATTGGCCACCACAAATCAGGACCCATTAGTACCTGACCTGTGCTGGGTAAATAAAATGATTATTTATGGTTACATGAGAATACACTTAAGCGATATGCTTGCTACTTCATGCACTGTTTAACATACTCAGTATAAGTTAGTTAAGAAATTAAAACGTGTAATGAAATAAAAATCATGTTCTGCTTTATCTGTTAACCTTTTCACATCACACCAAGAAAATCACACCGTGTATTCATTGGAGCTTTTTCTAGGGCTAAACGATATCAGTGCATAAAAAATGTTTAACAGAAAAGTAAAATGCCTTACCAAACTAAGAAAATGTTAACAACAGCTGAATTAGCAGCTATCACCCCCAGACAGTAGTGGTAGGTTCGTACGGCAAATCGGGAAAACTGAACTTGCTCTGATAAAAAATTAGTGTCGGTTTTACTGATCTTGAAAATGTATAACTCGGGACAAGCTATTAAGAATATCCAACAAAGTAAAGTCCATTTTGACAAACTACTTGTAGATAGACGCATAAGTTGCATATGGAGTTAATTAGGTCAAACGTCAATAATAATTTCATGTATTTTTCTTGTTTGAAAAATCATTTAAATTATCAATAATTATCAAACACTGGCCGGATTTATTTCATCTTAAAATCCACGTGTTTTATTGCATTCAGCTTGTTAATCCCTGTTGTTATAGAACCATTACAATAAAAACATTTGCAATAAGGATGAAAGGCATAAATGCTTAAACTGAATACTAAGTTCAAATTGTTTCATCTTCAAAAATTCAAAACATTATCACTAATATTCGGTGTTAATTTATTATTATTTTATTATTAATATTCTCATTTGAAATAGACGGTTATGGACGTCTATTTAAATACCCTTATTCCTGATCTTCCTCCATTTTATTTTCCCTTTTGTTTCTAAGAAATGCACGTTTACTTCAACATCCTTATTCTACATTTTAGCTCCGAAAACATCAAATTTCAATCAAACATCAGTACTACTCGTTTATTCCGGACTTAAAACTATCTATCTATCTATCTATCTATCTATCTATCTATCTATCTATCTGCGTGCCATATTTAAGAATCTTGTTTTATATTGTTTGAAAATAAGCCTTTTCTTTATTTAGATGATTTCAGTGTCTAATCGAATTTGATTGCTTGTACAAAAAATGCTATCTCGTAATATCTTTCCCGATGTGGACATTTTTTCTGAACTATCGATTTTTCGTTACTCTTATTAGGCCCAAGGCTAAGGCTGGTCTGTCACAAGGTCTCACCAGGAGAGAGCTCAATAACAATAAGTCGCCATACGAGTCTGCTAAACATAGCCTGATAGTAGTCACTCTAGTTATCCTGAGTTTTTTTTTTCTTCTTCTTCTGCCTTTAAAAATAACCGAATATCTCATTTTAGGAGCGCGTAATTTGGAGCAAATTCAAGATTATTGGTTTGTCTGACTATGGTTTTATTTATGGATAGACAAGTTGCTAATATATTTTTATCAAATATATGTGTGTTTGGGCGACGGTTTGTTCTAGACTTGTGATTTATCTCGTAAATATCAGAGAAGCTAACGTTTGCTGACTATAGTGAGATGTTTGTTATCCGTTAGATGTGTACTTGCTAAAAGAAATCAAAACAGAAAAAAAAAACAGAAAACAGTAAAAGGAAAATCATAGTTGCCCTAAGTTGATTTGAAGGTTACAAAGTTTATTATGAATCCAAATCCAAGAAATCCAATCAAGAGACATTCTTCAACCACACAAGGAAGAGAATGACTAAAACATTCTTTCATGTCTACTAACATAACGAATGGACAATTTCTTCGATGTTTTATATATTTAGTAAGAGAGATATTATATAAAAGATAAACTCACAAATATATCTTAGGTTGAGTCAAGTGTAATTGGCGTTCAAGGGAAACCATTTACCATGAAAAATGTATCAACATAACTGTAATTATATGTGAGAGTTAGAAATATATTTGGTGTTCACTGACACAGAACAAAGGGCAACGCAAGACAGAGGATTGGCAAAGATAAATCTCTAAAGTCATGTGCCATGCGTGATACACGCTTAGCCGATCATGTATCTTTGATACATGAATGACGAGACAAATTTTTTCCAGAAGTATGTTGCCATTTCTTTCTGAGGTAGACCAGTTGCTATCCAATCTGAGCCCCTATCCATTACTACACAGTGCCTCCTGGAATTTTAAAACCAATGCCAGATGCTTTCGTTTTTGGAAGATAGGTAATGTGATGCGTGAAGTGTGATCGTTGAGATATTATTTATTTGGAATTCATAAAACACATTGAAACATTAAATACATATATATCCGCTCCGAGAGCTGCAACGTGTCTATACAATTTTGGGCGAGGATTGCTTTGTACTCAAGGAAAACTTATATAACAATCATAATATAGGAAAAAGCAGCCATATTCACCTAACTATATAGCAAACGATTATTAACTTTATCGGTCGATATCTTTATAGGTTTTGGGAGAAAAATAATCTCTAATGAAAACAAGATCCAATAATTCGCTGAAAATGTTTTCGCATCGAATTCTACAGAATTTTACTCAAAAGGTTTTACATGTGATTTCAAATAATATGGAATATATCTCTGAATAACACATAATTATAGATTATTTTTTAGGAATATATTTGTTAAACAAAGCAGAAATTATTTGATTGAACATAATATATATTTGTGTGTGTATAGTTAATCATCCGACATTTAAGGAATAATTTTGAATATAAAATAAATATTTAGAATATTTACATTCTTACGGCTGTTGAAATCATCTTTATTGGCCATATGCACGATGTTTCAACTGTTTTACGCTCTAGTCTTCTTCAGGTGATATCATTTGGAATTTCGAAACTTACACGTTATTTAGTCCCTAGCGGTAGATAGTTCTAATTCCACGTGTCATGTATTTTTGGGATATTTCAGTGTCAGTTAATTCCTTGGGCTATTTCGGTTTATCCGCTGAGCCATGTGAATAAAATCGTTTGTTGAGTGATCCAAAAAAGTGACTTGATCCAATGAGTCAATAACTAGCTAAAACTGAGGAAACAAAAAAAAAATCTTGGAGAGTTGATTTAGTAAATTGAATTACCTGAAACTGAGATATCGAAAAAAAGTATGATACTTGGAATGAAAACAATCTACCCTTGTGGAAATAAAGTGTCCGATCCAATATCCCAACGTTTATCACCTGAAGAAGGCCGGAGCGTACAACGATTAAAAAGTCGTGAATATGACATTAAAGACGCGGACAACAGTCTGAACGATGTAAATATTGTAAATGGTTAGAATAACACATCTCAGAAATATAGAGAGGTGTCGGATATAAATATATAAATGTACCTTACTTACTGGATGCACACAAAGTTTACAATCATTTACTTTTGTACATGAAGGTGATTCTTTCATCTTTTGAATTTTTTTTTCAGTCATCCATCCTTTGATTCTTAGCTCTACATAGATATTTTCCCATAAAAAGTGAATTTATTTTATTTTTCGTAAAAACTAGATAAATATAAAATTCACATCCATCATTGTTTACTGTTCGATTTCAAATTTTGAGAAGCGCAATTAAGTAATGGACCATTGCACGTATCGCTGCGACACAGTCGGTGCCAGAACATGACGAACATAGTTGTAAATATTTAGAAAAATAAGAATTCAAAGTCAAATACAGCTCTGAAAACAGGCCGTAAACTGTAAACATACGAAAAGTGTTGAACTTTCAAATGAGAATGCAACAGAAACCATTCGTTGACAAGCAAATCGATCAGTTTGAACGAGGAAACATAACATACTTTATTCAATGCTAAGACGATTACATATTAAATTGATGTAAGCAAATATATGGATATAGATCCGACAGTATGAAGAAAAATACAGAAAAAACAAACAAAAATCTTAATATGCAATTATGCTGTATTAATGTTAATATAAAGTCGTCGTCGGACGTTTCGGTCTATTTAAGATCTATATCAACGGAAGGGATTTCTTGAACTGTTTATATAAAATAGTTCAATCGACTTTTTTAATATTTGGAAATCTTCGAATACGTTTTCACAACATCGCCCACGTGACGACGACGTGATCATATTTAAACGGAACGCTGATCTTATATAAAATTTCAGTTATCTGTTTGGATTAGTTATGCTCTTATGTCCATCGTCTTTTATTGTTAAATTTTTTATATTTCTAATGTTAATTATGTTTAAATGAAAATGTCCATGAAGATGGTCTTAAATAGACAGAAACGTCCGACGTCGACTTTATATTAACATTAATACAGCATAATTGCATATTAATATTGTTGTTTGTTTTTTCTGTATTTTTCTTCATATTGAATTGATATATGACAATGTCTGTCTGTATGATTCAAATGAAACGTAGCAAAATAACACGGATCAGGAATGGGGAATTCTACAAATCTATGGATTACGGTTTTAGTTTTAATGTATATCAACCTCAACAGGTTACTTAATGCCGACAAGCTGTTTAGGATGAGCTCCGATGAACAGGATGTATTATTCTTTTTCTTTCAAAAATGTATTGTTGGTAATATTTGTTACAAAAACGTATTGCTGACACCTTAACTATAAACATGTCTTTCTACACCTTTGTAGTGTTTTAATAGTTTCGGAGTTCACTAATTACCCATAGATTGTACCCTAACAGGTATTACCATCTCGGATCGGGGTTGATCTGGGAACAACAGCATATAAGAGGTGGTTCCACGCCCCCCACCCCGAAACTTCTAAATCAAAGGTTTTGCTGCCGGATATCGTTTATCGTCATAACCAGGACATTGTATATCTATAAAGCTCTGTAATGAAAAGGTACGACGCAAGGATTTTCAATCTATTTGGAAACGATGTTAGAATAATCAAGAATAGAATAATCAAGAAAATGTACTAGGAGCAAACGAACGCATACGAATATAAAATAGAGCTGCTACACAGAGACGTGCGTCAGGCAAAAATGTGACTTGCACCCGGTTTTAATCAAACTCTTTAGCGAGTTGGAGAACCTACCCAGATTATCTGTGGGCGTAATTCTAACAGTATAAGATATACAGATGGCAAAGCGTTGATGGCTGACACGGAATGAAAACTATACAACATACGAAAAAGTGTTTTAAAATAAAGCCAAAAAAGAACGAGTCATAAACTGCAAGAAAACAAAACGTATTTTCATCAGCAAGAGAAAACATTGAAGAGGAGAGTTAAAATAGAAGATGTCACTATTAAGCAAGTACAGAAGTTTAAATAACTAGGAATTTTCAAATGTAGAATGGCACCGAAATCCAAACACACATTGGATTAAAGAAAGATTAATTTCAAAACATAAGCTAGTTGCTTAGAATCGGAAAAATGTCGTTAAAAACAAATGGCTTGATTGCTATATGACATTCATCCTCTTACATGGCAGGGAATGCTGAATAATTGCTCCATGGCTGAAGAAACGAATACTTGGCGCAGCAGAAATCTGGATACTGAACATTCCATGGATGAAGCGAGTAAGCAGCAAGGGAGTTTTAAAGAAAATGGTATAAAAACAACAGTTATACAGAAAATCTGAAAAAAAAGGTTGAATTTCCTTCGACACATAATGAAGATAAGGGGCTGGAAAAATTGAAAGCCAGGGGGAAGTAAGAAAGATAAAGAAAGACAGCGAAACTTGTACAAGCCTAGCTGTTGTGAATGGATAGTGGTACGGGTTGGGGATTATCAAAGGGAGAAAAACTGCTAAAGGTACAAAGTGATAGGAATTATGGAGAGCACTCATCGCCCATATCCTGAAGAGACGCGGTAGATAGACAAAAATATTTGATGATGAGCGTTTAAAACAATTTCCAGATAACGCCAATTTCCTTGAATAATTAATAGCATAAAACAGGAATAATGCTGTCATATAATATACAGTGAAGTAGTAATGTATGAATATTCATTGATAATTTATAACGGTAATGGTAATGTTAATATTAGTAATTTCCCTACAAGGAAACATTTGACATTTATTGACCGAACAGCCAGTATTACTTTCGTTTGAAATTTATAAAGCTTTACTCATGCATTGTCTTTAGAAAAACAGGTTTCGCA